CATCATTGACATCACCGCCATCATGTCATCTTGCTGATTCACGCTGCAATCCCTTTGATTTCGATGTTGGATCTCTCACCATGGTGGTGTTGAACTCAGCACCAAACATCATCATCATACTTATCCCCTTCGTGATTGTCATCATAACAGTCCACACACCACCATATGCCATCTTCACTGAACGTCAATGAAACAGAACCTTGCCATTAAAATATAATAACAAAAACTAGACGCCCCATTCCGGCTTCACTCGCAAGAAAACAGAAGTGAATGCCAAGGACATCTTTTTTTCCTTATCTCGAGTAGTTGCTTACCTATTGTTTGGGATTTTCTATGGCAGTCATTACCTTCTTCTTGTGTGTGCTTTGGAAGGTGTCTTCCCCTCATGCGAGCACGCACGCAATCGTTCACACAGTATTAACAACACCCTCGGTCAATTCGCAACCAACCTTGTTCAACCTTCCTCTAATCAGCACACTAACCACCGCCCAATAATATTTCCACCTAGCGCCAGGACCATTATGGCACTATAATGTATAACAAAACATGTACCGGTCACTATCTCCACACCACTACCATCGCCAACTTCAACTTCCAGATTTTTACTGCCAGGTCAGCATCTCCAGTTCAACTACTCTAAAGGAGAGATGATGAGGAACAGACTCTGATACCAGTTGTAATCAACCCAACGTCAAAAGCTCAAGATCAAATCCCACATGAACTCACAAGGCTCAAGTCAGTAATAACAGGCAAATTGAGAAAGCAGTCAACGACAAGACTGTGTGAAGAAATACAGCGTGCCTTTAAAATATGGACAATGGATACAATGTTCAAATTACTACTCCCTCTACTTCCACGGGATTCCTTCTCACTACCTCAACATGTCTACTGGCTTGCATCTCCCCAACCCTTTCACTGGCAATCCAGACACAATGTCACTTGCCAAGTTGATCTCTCTATAGCGCTGGCCTTCCCCAGGGTGGTGCAATGAAGCTGGAACTTCAAATGATAATGTCAATCCTCTGAGGCAACATGCGCAGTCTCCTTCCTCTATCACAACCACATTGCCTTCCTGAAGCAACAGTGACCCTCCCTCTCCTCCCTTCACCTCACCCACACCAGTGCCACACTCTTTCTCAATCGCACAGGTGCAAACGGAATGAAGTGTTGGAGAACATCAGCCTTCCACCTCCCATCAGAGTCTTCTTCTTCAGCTAGCTATGGCCCAACCGGCCCTTATTCAATGGTTATCTCCTCCCACCGATCACCAACGCAGACCCTCCTCTGAATGGAGGCAAACGCATTCTAGCCCGCACCACTACCACTGAGTCTTGGATGAGGGAAGGCATAGACATGGAACCACCGGGATCCTCTGGATGTGCTATGTTAGAAAACTCCGCCCAAGAAGTCTCCAGGTCAGCTTCCACTTCCCCCAAGCCTTAGACTCTCCTCCTCTCTCCCTCCCATATACGGTACATCAGCACCTTGTACTCGCTATGCTACCAGTCTCTCTCACTCTAGGTATGGCAGCCCCATGCTCTCTGTCCGCCTCCTTCCAGCGCTGGCCCTCGAGCAGTGTGCTCCAACCTCAAAATAGTGCAAGGCAGAACAAATGAATGCACGAACAGGGGCATTCCCAGATTTTATAGCCTTTACTCAGCCTGGCCTGCCTCCGGTTCCCTCCTCGAGCGGTCGAAGATTTTTCAATCTCTACAGTCAAGAATTTGTGTGCGGACCCAGCGGTCTTGGAAACCTCCGGAAACTGCATGGCTCTGAGAAATCTTTGATTCTTAGGCTTATGCACCCGGGTTGCGCCTGACTGTTCATTTGCCTAAAGGCTACTCCAACTTCTAGAGGCTTTGGGGAACTTGATTTGACCCTTGACCCTAGGCTAGGCCTACCAACCTGAGGACTCCTAGAGACTTTTCAGAGACTGTAGGACCGACTTTTGGCCCCTGAACTTCAGCTAGGTCAAAAGCTTTGGGGCTTTTGGGGAGGTCGGAATGGGTGTGTAAAAGGGGGAAGGGTCTGAACAGGTATATAGTATAGTGAACATTTCTTTCTGTGAGGCCTCAGGCCTCGGTAAGCACACAAAGTGGCTGGCTGAGAAAACCGTGCCCAGCCCTAAGAAAAGGCCGAGGCAGGGAGAAATGTGGCCAGGCCCTGACTGAAGTTCATGCCAGACTACTGGGCCTGAGTTTGGATACAGTAAGCAGAGCACATCTGTTTCTGCAGTTCTCATGAAGCGGAGGCTAAATTCCGGATTGCGGTGATCCTGTGTCAAAATCTGTACTTCTCTTCACCATGGATGATGCTGATTGTGTGTCAAAATGTGAGTTTCTCTCAGACACCAGTACAACAGCCCCTGCACTGCAGATTTTACTCGTTTACGAGTACCACGCCAAAATCTACAGTGTCAAGGACCAGTAGAGGTTTGGTGCGAAAGGGTCCACAGGCCTCTTAGAAATCCACAATAAGGCTACCGGGTTCAGTACGAGGGCAGGGAGCGCATGTGAAAACGCGCTGCCTGCCCGTGCCTGTGCAAAAAGAAAAGCAAAAAGAGAAAAAGACAAAAAAGCAAAAAGAAAAGCAAAAAAAAAAAAAAAAAAGCCACGGACAACCATCGACACAAGAGGTAGGGAGAAGGAGAGAGAGAGAGTGTGGCATACTGCATAGCCACACGGGCCCTGCAGGGCCCGTCCCGGACATTCAGCCTCAAAGCCTAAAACTTAGGGCTTACAGGCCCCGGTCGTTTGCCCCGGTCGTTTCAGCCTGAAAGCTGAAAAACGAGGGCCTGCAGGCCCTACTCCGTTTCAGCCTATTTCTGGGTCTTTCAGACCCAGAGTTTTTCCAGCCTGAAACGGAGGGCCATTTTCAGGCCCTCATTTGTTTCGACCTGCCCAAAGACTCAGGCACGAAAACTGGGTTTCGGAACAGGCTATTTCTAACCTGTTCCCACGCCACCTCGAGCAGGAGCTGCAGCTGCAGCCCCTGCCTCCTTTCGGCATTGGCAAGAGCAGCCTCCTGAACTGCTCGCACGGCTCAGGGGGCACACCCGGTAGTACATAGGTAGTTGGACATTCAGGACGGGTAGTCTTCAGGATTCGACCGCAGCACTCAGGAGGAGCGCTGCAGTAGTCTTCAGCGCTAGGCAGTATTAGCGCTAGCTGTAGTCTTCGGCGCTGGGCGCCCATAGCTAGAGTAGTCTTCAGCGCTGGGCGCTGGTAGGTGGTAGATCGTAGAGTTGGGAGAGAGACTGGCGGAGGCCAGTAGTACTTACCTGTGGCGCCATAGCTCCAGCTCCATCTTAGAGGTACCTGCATCAAGGCGCCAACTTCACAGGTTAGTACTAGACTGAGAGAGCAAGAGAGAGAGAGAGAAAGAGAAAGAGAGAGAGAGAGAGAGTTCTTCTTCCTCTTCTTCTAAGTCCACCATCTCTTCTTCCCCTCTCACCACCTGACTTCTCAGTATCAGCGGACTACTACAGAGAGAGAGAGAGTTCTTCTTCTTCCTCTTCTAAGTCCACCATCTCTTCTTCCCCTCTCACCACCTGACTTCTCAGTATCAGCGGACTACTACAGAGAGAGAGTTGTGACATGAGACTTGACGACATTGGATCCAGACTCGACATTGGGATTCAGACATTTTGACGAGGGACTATTTGGGCCTGTGCTGAACACTTGGTGTTGACTACATTCCCATCTTCCCCTCTTCTTCGTCTAACCCCACCTCCTTCGTCTGTGTATGGTTGGGGCTGGCGCAGTCTTCTTGAGTGAAGCGCCAGACCCCTTCACACCATGATGATGATGTATTTTCGGGGCTGCATTGCACTATTGATTGTGCGGATCATTGGTATCTAAGTCTTCCGTTGTGCTATCTTATACTTTGTATTGAAAGGTCGGTTCTTGTTCTGGTC